CTCACTGACACTCACTCCCCTCGGGTAATGCTCACTCACTGACACTCGCTCCCCTCAGGTAATGCTCACTCACTGACACTCACTCCCCTCAGGTAATGCTCACACACTGACACACACTCCCCTCAGGTAAAGCTCACTCACTGACACTCACTCCCCTAAGGTAATACTCACTGACACTCACTCCCCTCGGGTAATGCTCACTCACTGACACTCGCTCCCCTCAGGTAATGCTCACTCACTGACACTCGCTCCCCTCAGGTAATGCTCACTCACTGACACTCACTCCCCTAAGGTAATACTCACTGACACTCACTCCCCTCAGGTAATGCTCACACACTGACACACACTCCCCTCAGGTAGTGCTCACATACTCCCCTCAGGTAATGCTCACACACTGACACACACTCCCCTCAGGTAAAGCTCACTCACTGACACTCACTCCCCTAAGGTAATACTCACTGACACTCACTCCCCTCGGGTAATGCTGACTCACTGACACTCGCTCCCCTCAGGTAATGCTCACTCACTGACACTCACTCCCCTAAGGTAATACTCACTGACACTCACTCCCCTCAGGTAATGCTCACTCACTGACACTCACTCCCCTCAGGCCAATGCTCACTCACTGACACTCACTCCCTCGGGTAATGCTCACTCACTGACACTCCCGCTCCCCTCAGGTAATGCTCACTGACACTCACTCCCCTGGGTAATGCTCACTCACGCGACACTCCCTCCCCTAAGGTGGCCTCAGCTGGCCTCCTCCCTCCGAGATGGCCTCACTCACTGAAACTCACTCCTGGGTGTGCTCACTCACTGACACTCGCTCCCCTCAGGTAATGCTCACTGCTGACACTCACTCCTCAGGTGTCTCACTCACTGACACTCACTCCCCTCAGGTAGTGCTCACACACTGACACACACTCCCCTCAGGTAAAGCTCACTCACTGACACTCACTCCCCTAAGGTAATACTCACTGACACTCACTGCCCTCAGGTAATGCTCACTCACTGACACTTGCTCCCCTCAGGTAATGCTCACTCACTGACACTCACTCCCCTCGGGTAATGCTCACTCACTGACACTCGCTCCCCTCAGGTAATGCTCACTCACTGACACTCGCTCCCCTCAGGTAATGCTCACTCACTGACACTCACTCCCCTAAGGTAATACTCACTGACACTCACTCCCCTCAGGTAATGCTCACACACTGACACACACTCCCCTCAGGTAGTGCTCACTGGCCTCCACTCCCCCTCGGGTGATACTCACACACTGGCCTCCTCTCCCCTCGGGTAATGCTCACTCACTGACACTCACTCCCCTGGTGAATGCTCACTCCTGACACTCCTCCCCTCGAGGTAGCCTTTCACTCACTGACACTCACTCCCCTCGGGTAATGCTCACACACTGACACTCGCTCCCCTCAGGTAATGCTCACTCACTGACACTCACTCCCCTCGGGTAATGCTCACTCACTGACACTCACTCCCCTCGGGTAATGCTCACTCACTGACACTCACTCCCCTCGGGTAATGCTCACACACTGACACTCGCTCCCCTCAGGTAATGCTCACTCACTGACACTCACTCCCCTCAGGTAATGCTCACTCACTGACACTCACTCCCCT